GAAGCGCCATAAGTCCGAGCGCATGCGCCTTCGTACGCGCGTTGTCCACGAGTTGTGGGCAGCGGCCTTGGACGAGGAGCGCAAACTTGTCGAAGAGGAAGTCGAAAGGGAGAAGCAGGAGATTCAAGAGGAGGAGCTGCGGCGGGAGAAGGAGGCAGAGGCGGCGTCGATGAGCCCGTCGGAACAGCAGGAGTGAGATATCAAAGTTTTTTTGGGTGTTTTGTGAACTTCGTTTTTCTAGAAACATCGATGCATTGGACGGCGCATTTGCTGAGATCCACAAGTCCATCTTCGACGCCACGAAGTGGGTGGGCTTGACGCTGGTAGGCGGACCAAACCCACGAATGGGCGGTGAGTTGACGCTGAAAGTGTGAGTTTCCTTTTCAGGACGTTTGGATCGTCATCTGACACCTTGCTTCCACAACCTTCAGCATTGCTTTTGGGCGCACGGCGGGTGGCAACGACTTCGAGGACTGCTGCATCGACTTCGATCATAATGTCCTCGCGCCATTCCAAGATTTCTTGAGGCTCTGTTACTGTAAGTTGTTCTTTTTACGCATTCCAGACGGGTGTAACTTATTAAATTCTTATAGCTGCCCAGGATCGCCAGGTTTGCGCGTTTGTAGGGCAGACCACTACCATCTCGGACGACGAATCTCCAGCTGAACGTGTCTTTCCACCTGCGCCGCCTGCTCAGGACGCCGAGAATCCCAACAAGAAGAAGTCAAAGACCAAAAAATCGAAGTCGAAGTCGAAGGCTACTGCCGCAGATCCAGAAGCCGCGTCTCCAACGCCATCACCACCCGTTCTGGATGCAGCTTCCCCGTCTGTATCTTCAGGCCTTGGCGATGCAAACATCGTTGGTGGTGCGCATGATAGGTGAGACTTGTTGTGATATATACTGATAGTGTCTGAACTCATGATCTGTAGTCTACGATCCCCTGAAAACCCGGCTGGCCAGCGATCCAACGTCTCGACCGCTGCGGATGATATTCACTCCGGGGCCCTCATTGTCAACCCCGGTAACGTGTGAGTTTGCTTTACCTGGAAACTGTGGTGTGACGCAAAACATACTGACCGATCTCACAGTCTCTGGACCATGGAAGGCACAGAGTTTGAGCAGCGCTCCAGCGTCACCAACTGGTTCGACAACATCCCTCCCTTCGGCGGGGATGGAATCGGCGACGACGGACTTGGCGACGATGGACTCAGCAGCGAAGGATTTGGCGGGGATGGACTCGGCAGCGACGTCTTCGGGGTCAATGAGTCGGTCGCTATCGCTACGCGTGGCATCGATGACCCACCTCCGCGGCTGTGGCTCCCCGAGTCGATTATGATGGGGGGAGCACCTACTGCGTCGGTTTCGCCCACTCAGTCTCAGACATACACGCGACCTCCCCCTCGCCCAGCATACAAGAGTGCGGCCCTCTTCGGAAACAATGTGCCGCGGGGTACCATTGCAGCACGGGCGCTACAGAGCCTTCTCACTGCAGCCAGCTCCCCTTCGCCAAGCCCGAGCGCGCCGAACCCGTTGGCTTCCGCTGACGGCCTGGCTATTCCGGATCCAACTGCCCTTCCCCTCCCCCAGCCGTCCAAAACGCCACTGGCGACCATTCCCAATATAGCGCCTACGCCATCTCCACCTGCTACAGCGTCCCCTATTACCCTGGCAACAGGACTCGTGATGCCGCGCTCGCGTCCACCCGCCAAGGCACCCACCCTGGTTCCCCCGCCATGGGCCACTATGGCCGCTTCAGAAACACGTGTCGACACTGTGCCAGCTCCCCGCCCGCCCAACTCGTCAGCTACACCGCCGCCCGCACACAAGGCTCCAGCAAAGAAACCTGCACCAAAGAAAGGCTCTGCAGCTGCCAAGGCGGACAAGAGGGAGGCAGCAGCTTCCGCGGCGGCGGATGCTCCCAAGAAGAGGGGAAGGCCGCGCAAGCAGCCCCTGAACGACATCACGAACGAGGTGCAAGACACGACTAACGCGTCCACCCTGATGCCACCTGCCACCGACCCTTTGTCTGCCCTCACACCGCCCGCCGCCAACGCTTCGTCCGCCCTCGTGCAGCCCCCCGCTCCTTCAAACGCGCCGATCCACGTCTACAGCTCCACCAACAACAACCGCACTCGTGCGCGTGCGGCTGCAGTAGCTGACGAAGCAGCGAAGGAGAAGGAGAAGGCTGACGCGGTCGCCAAGCAGGCCGCCAAGGGCTGGTTCGAGCGCACGGTGGACGGCGTCACAGTCGTCACCTTCACACGCGTACGCAAGCCCGTCAAGCTACCCGATGGATCCGCGGTCCAGCGCGAGGTAAAGGGGACGCGCAAGAAGGCCTGCCCCGTGGAGGAGGCAATGCTCGCGCGAGCGGCAGCAGCCAAGACTGGGAGCAAGAGGAAAGCTGCACAGTCTGCAGCACCACGCGCGCCCAAGAAGAAGTAAGATCTTCTTTTACTGGAATTGTCCTTTGGCTAACGAGCTCTTGAGGCGCAAGGTATAGTCTATCGAATAGACTCTTTGTACGACGTCTTCAACGACGACACCGCATCTCCATCGGGCTGCTGCTCATCCAGCAAACTTTTTGTCTCGTATTTTATGACTGCTTTTAGACTTGCCTATGCACGCACCTCGACGTCCTTACTCCTGACATATGACACTTACTACAAAATATATGATGTTTGACGAACGTGTTTTATGAATCGTGTGAGGAGTGACGTATGAAATACTTAGATGGGACTGATAAGAATTGGACGAAATTAAGCGCCTCGGCGCTTAAGCTCTGGCACTTGGCGATCTTTCTTTTTCAAGTCAATTTTATTCCAAGTCAAATTTATTCTGAAATAAGATATCGAACACAACGTCAAGAAGTACTAACAACACAAATACAGAATTGATTATGAGGCATTTCAGGGGAGGCGGGGGTGCAGGCGTGCTGGCAGGCAGGCGGGCGGGCAGCAGCGCAAATGAACGCGGTGGCGAAGGAGGTGCAGGAGTATGGAGGAATGGTACACGGGCGGGCGGGCGCTAGCGGTGGCAGGAGCACGGGCGGGAGGCGCATGGGCGGGCGCAGGCGGGAGGGAGGCGCACAGGCGGGAGGGAGGCGCACAGGCGGGAGGCGCACAGGCGGACGGGAGGCGCACAGGCGGGCGGGAGGTGCACTGGCGGGCGGGGGGCGCATGGGTGAGCGCTAGCGGTGGCAGGAGCGCGGGCGGGAGGCGCACTGGCGGGCGGGGGCGCACGGGCGCAAGCCCGGGTCCGGGTTCGGGTTCGGGCGGAGCTTCGGGTTGGGCTTGGGCGGGCGGCTTAGGCTTGAGGCTGCTCGCTGCAGTGAACCGGTGCAATTGTCCCCCCGGGGGCAGAACGCCAAGCGGTCAGCGCGGCAACAACAGCAGGCGCTGGAGACGTATTTTGAGGAAGGTGAACAGAGGAGAGGGACAGTGGAGTTGTCCACTACCTAAGCCAAGTGGCGTAGGGGAGCAAGGCGCGCGGTTCCGCTTTTATGCGGATGCTGGACCAGGGTGGGCTGGTAGCGTAAGCGAAATCCCAGGATTTGGAGGGCGATTGGGTCTGATTGGGGACGGGCAGCTGATAGCGAAGAGGAAAGGCGTTTCGTTTGCGGAGGAATGAGGGCGGCAGAACCCCAGGGAAGCGGGGAAGGCGAGCAATTGACGGGAGGGCAGAGTGATGCTATTATAACAGCTATAAACAAATGACCCCGTTTGGAGAGGGCGCGCCCGCCTCACGCACGGACCATCAAGCGGCGCACATCATTTGGCGGCCAGGCGCATGTGCGGTGGCGCGGAAAAGGTGCGGAACGGAGCCTAGAATGGTGCACCGATATATCAGCCGCTCCGCTAACTAGAGTCTCTGATACATCACCGCACTCCGACAATCAGTGGACCTCCGATATATCAAAGTGCCGTATACGCCTGGAGAAGTCAGTCAGAGTAGTGAACGAGAGGCATGCATACCCGCCAACCAATTGTTTCTGTGCAGGATCCGCTGTGGTCCAAATCTAGACTTTAATTCATGAACACCCGGCCCCTTTTAATCTGCTTTGACCTTGGTTGCCCTATTCCCGCGCGTTTTGCAGTGCGTACGGCTGTGATGTCAACGCTCCCCGGAACCCTTCAACACCAACTGTGGTCCCCGGACGCGCATTCTGCACTCTCAACCACCGCCATCCGTGCCTGATTCCAGTATAGCGCGCCAAAAAAAGCCGCTTCAAACCAGCTCTGTTTGCAACCTTATGTTTTTCCCCTTCCTTCCTTCTCTCGACCTTGCAGGGGTAGTCGGCATCGCGCCGTCTGGACCTATTTCCCTTTGGTCGCCGCGCCATGCTTAAAGTCCTGGTTTCTGTATCCCCCCATTCCGGCCCGCACCTTCCACTTAGCTTCGTAGTCGTTGTAGATTAGCGTAGCTCATAAGTTTTGTCACCTACTCTGTGATACACAAAAACGCGCACATTGCATGTCAATCTGAGGGTCGTAATGAGTTTGAAGTTTGAAATGAGTACTGGTTAGGGTATTGTATGCCCACGGGTGCAGTATTGGCGGGTTTAGAAAAAATAGGACCCACACCTGCACCTGCGACACCCATACCCGTAATACCGCGGGTATACCCATTACCGTGTCACACACTATTTGTGAGTGACGGAATCCGCGGTGAGGGGGACATATGTCCCTTTCATGAGTGGCGGTATCCGCGGTGTCTCCAAAGAAAGGAAATAATAGTGTGTGCCTGGTAGCTGGCCAGTATTACTACTTTGCCATGGTCCCGTAGCTCAGTGGTAGAGCACCGGTCATTTATGATAGCGTACAAATGAAAGTGTTTCACCGGAGGTCACATGTTCAATTCATGCCAGGACCATGATAACTGAGGATGATATCTTTTTTGATTGCTTTGCCTTCTCCATGTTTTTTTTATTTTTTTTATTTTTATTTTTTGTTGCGCCGGTGTGAAAAATTCAAAACCCAAAAAATCATAATCATAAAGAGGAAGGCCTGGGCCGGAGTCGAACCGGCGCCTTGCACATATACCGTCGTTAGCCTGGTTTTATTTTAGGTGCACACTCTACCGCTGAGCCACCAGACCTGCGTAACAATTTTACAAAAAGAAACTCTTCTCAAACATGCGAATGTGTGACACCGAGATTATTGTTCTGGGCTCGTCACACATTTCAAAATGTAAAGCAATGGCAATATCATCATGCCTTTCAAAATGTAAGGCAATGCAATAGGGTCACACCTTTCAAAATGTAAAGCAATGTGATATCGTCATGCCTTTCAAAATGTAAGGGAATGCAAGTGCAATTGAGGAAGGGGGTTCAAGTGTACAGATCTTATGCTTATAATGACAATACACCAGTTTGGCTTCCCCTACGCACGTTGCCTGGGGCTTTATTAACGGTCCCCCTCCAAACCATGGCCAGATAGCTAAGATCATGGAAGGGATTTAACAAAGATACTAGGTGGAATACAATGTATATGTATAATCTGAGATCCCTGGATACCTTTGGCAGCTTTACTGCACATTGCAGGCTGTGTTGGACTTCGGCATTCAGTTGGGGTAGGTAAGTTATGCCAAATGCATGTCAATGGCGCACATTGAAGCTGGAAAAGGCTCAGAGGGGACCTTTATGAATGATTTAGAAGTGTTAAGATCTTACTGGTAAATTCTGAGAAGGTTTATGAGAGGCAATAAATATTTTTGCCCTGAGCATTGCTGTCACGTGGACTGATCGCGTCCTGTCTCCGCGATGGACCTTGAATACCTCTATGCACACTGTACATATTGACCTGGGGCTTGCTGATATCTTTAGCCATATGCTAGGGGTAGCTTCGAATGAAATATCTCGGAAAACCAAACCCAAATAAATATCCTTGAGACCTGACAAAAAACGCGTGTTTTCACCCCACTTGCACCCTTCTGAACTCAACCATTTCTGCACATATTATTACATACTATGGGGCAAAGTTGCAGCCATACTAATGAGGTAAAACATTTGCCAGATAACCCAGGCATCCGTGCCCGCGTTGGGCAATAGGGGACGATTCCCAACCCCCACGATTTCCGGACTTTGAAGCAAGCCCCTTCTGACGAAAGCCATGTTGCGCTTATTTGGTTCTGATGTTTGGTCTATTTGGTCATCCGGCATCCACGGCTTCGTCAGAATGGGGCTTGTACCGAACCTATGCTTAATACATGAGGTATGTAAGCACCCGTGTCTTCGCCACGGGCGGTCAGACACGGCTTTGTCCCAGTTCCGTACAGACACGGGGGACTCCAAGCCCTCCGCACACGGCGGATTCCGAGACCGTGGGTCCAACCCGTGACTTTCTGTCAATTTCCCGTGGCTTTCGTGGCTGTATCTATCAAGTTGTGTGTTTCCGAGATAACCTCGACGCGAAGCACGAGCGGCTTGAGGTTATCATAGGATACGCTAAGATACTGTAGTATTTCGCTCAATACGTGCCGCCTGTGACCCGTGACACCAAAAACCGAACTTCAATATTCGTGGATCGGCCTTCAGGAGCGTGACACAAGAAAAACTTCGTGTTTTCATGGGAAATAATCAGACTCAGTACCCATACACACACAGACTACATTCCTCACGCAAAATAGGTCCAGTTGAGCTGTCTTGATGTATTTCTGGTGCCGCCAAGACAAGTTGGATCAAAAAGTGGTGCGACATCAATTGGGTGCTGTAACTCTTTTTTGCACCCGTCGTCCTCACCATGATCATGGGCAAAGCTTTCAAAAATGTCAATTGTGTGAGTGCCGTGGCAAATCCAACGCCGAGGCATCACGGGGGAGAAAAAATTGAATTTTTCGCCTTTTTTCTGGGGTTTTTTGTGACTTCTTTTGCAAGTTCGTGGTCGGTCTCGGTCATTGAGCTCCTTCCCTCTTCTTTCGAGCTGTGCGACTTGAATTTCGATGAGGACCTTCGTTAAAGCCCTCTCTCAAAGACAAAAAAAAAAGGAACCCAAAGCGGGCAAAAAGGAACGCAACGGACCTGTCGTTGACTTTAAGCAGCCAAAGGAAGAGATCAAGTTGACGGTGAGAAAATACGGAGCGAGGGAGATGCATGAGAATATCAAGGGTGTATTTCTGAAAGCAGAATTTAACTGGACAGCAACAAAAACATTGGAAATTTTTGACAATGTATCTGTTTCTGTGGTACGAGCCCGTTTTGGTGGGCAGACTGCGGCGTAGAGCACTGGGCTCCATAGCTTTCAAGCCTGAAACTTGTGAGAAGCTGTTAGTTTTGCCAAGTAGGGAGAACACAATGACGTACCTCCGGTGCGCAGCTCCGATGTGTACTGGGGTTCCTCTCACGAGTCCGCAGCTCCTCGGGGTCGAACCGCTCATCCCGCTCGAGATTTGAGCACACAGATACGATGCGTGCTAGCCGAATAATGGTGATGCTAGATTAACCGGAAAGTCGTGTGGTGCTGTGTGTTCCACAGAGGTGAGTTGCTTGATCCCTCGGGAGCAACTGAAGGTGCATCATGGATTTAAATGTCTGAGATACACATATCATCAGGATCGAGTTTTGAAGGGAGACCAAGGGGTGCTGCCTGGTAAGCCACGCACTTCGGGTAATTGCTGCCCTCAACATGTATCATTAGCACAAGGCAGCCGCGGCCACGGTGAGAGCGGTATCAGATACGGCGAGAGGAAACGCGCAGATCTTGGGTGCAAACAACGCGGAAATAACGTTGGCCGCAGCTGAATAAGTGCCGTTTAAGGCTGGCCGGTTGCTTACAAGGCAACAAGATATGCCTGCGCTCCGCTCCGGCGCTGGGAATTGAGCGACAGTTCGTGGCCGCAGCTCAATAATTGTTCCCCGCCTACGCCGCGATGAGAAATTTTGAGTGCTGTAGCACCCACGGGCCATGCCTGTGCCTTTATATGGTTCCGATTGGGCAAGACTCGCAGTCCACAGCTGTCAATAATGGTGGAAACCTCGGGCACGCTGGGAGTGAGAGAGCAAAAGAAGCTGATGCCGGAGATCTTTTGGATGCACAGCTGGGCACAGGAATGCACCGCGATTGAGAGCGGGTGACAGTGGAAGAGAAGAAACAGAATGGAGATCACTATAAGGAGATAGAGCAAACATATGTACACAAAACCTCGTCATTTCGTTAAAGAAACGGTAGATCATCATGACGTTGTAATGCCGGCACCTTATAAGGCTAAAAATAATTTTCCGACAACTTACTGGCAACACCACAGGAATTGAATAAATTGGGTCAAGAGGAGTGCGCAGATACTATACATCAGCATCTTTACAACTTCACTTTTCGGCCCGCTTTTTCAGCTTTTTAAGCCGAAAAAGACGAAAAGCGAAAAAAAGCTCACTCACTTTTCTTAACCCAGCCCATTTACTTTTCTAAACTGGAAAAAGATGAAAAAGACGAAAAAGCCCAGTGCTAAGACGGTAAAATGCGACCGTATAAGACGGTAGGAAAGAGGCGATCACTTAGATTATCAAGGCGGACTTTCCCCTGGAGGATGTAGCTGCTCCCCTCAAGTCGTGGTTGGAAAGCTGATCATGCCTCCTCGTCCATACATCGGCGACATAGCATGAAAAAAGTTTTCTTCGGCATGTTAGGTTTCCCACTGGTAAAAGCAGGCAACTTCAGGTGGGGGAGACAACTTCAGGTATAAAGTGAAATGAAGACAACATCAATGGGATAAAACTTATTGATGCCAACAACATTTCAATGCAGCAACTTAGGCAAAGGTACCTTCAGCCGATGCAATACGTTCGAAATTTGCAACATCCGACTTGGACTTTGATAGGTTTTTATTGCCACAACTTACATAGGTTCATAGATTACAAGTTGAAGAAGCCGCAACTACAACGACCTATTCTCGGTCCACTTTCCTCGGGGCGAGCTAATGTGAACCGACCTACAGGCCGAAATCTCAACCTGTCTATGAGGTAACTTGAATTCTTCGTAGCTCTACGTAAGTTGGCCCTACGACGAAGAACTACATAGAGGGCGACAAATTTAAATTACAGAGCAACTACGCGGCACTACGTAGAACGACCGAAACTACAGCCACTACAGCCGAACTACTGTCGCTACGGCTGAAATCAGGGTTTGGTGATGAAGAGAAGCTTGATGCCGACTCAATATCACTCCCATTATCGAATGTACACGTCATTTGGCCATACTCTGAGCGCGTAATCTGTCCATTTTCTATGGTACCCAGATGACCCTGCTTTCCCGCTAAAGTCCGCAAATCTGGCCTCCGCTCATTACTCTAGCTATTTTCTGCTCCGTTGGACGATACTCGCGAACCCGTATCTCATCGATCCGTCTTCATCAATTATTGCGCTCTGGGTTCTTTCCTGTGTGCAGTCTGCCTGTGTACTTTGCACCCTAATTACGCTGCGCTGGTGCTTTTACCGCGAATCAGTTCAATTAATCGAGGTACGCTCAACAAACAAATTGGGGATGCCGAATGTGGTGCTACAGCGGTACTTAGGGTTAGACAACGGGAACCTCTTCTCTTTCTGCGCTCTACGCGTCATTTCGGTACGGGCCTAAGTACTCCCCCGTTACTTCAAGTTCCTCTAACGGTCGATGAAATGCATCTTCTACTATATTTAAAATCAATTAACGTTCAAAATCTGATTTACAGTGTGTGATTGACCTCCCTTTTATTCAACCCACATTGGCACCATGTCCGTCAGGAAAATCCGTCGCTGGTATTGGAGACAGTCAGGCTCACACATCACAGGCGAGATTGAAGGTTCAAATGCTAGAAGTGGCGCTGCGTCTCTCTCAGGGAAATAGCCTACTGTCACAGTTCCAGGGCCTCTACACCGCTTAGGGCTAGATTAACGAGGGAGTGAGTGTGGTGGCATGCGCCATGCAAACCCATACATGAGCATCTCAGCGTACAGTAGTCTCTGTTGACAGACACCTTATCGTGTGTGGTAGCTCGTACCTTGTTCTATCAACCCAAGTACCGAACACGATGATCCCTGCTTCAAGTGGTTGACGGTGTGGCCAGGGGCTTTTGGCACAAAGTCGCGCTGTATACTCGAATTGTGAGCATTGTGATGTTGTGAAGCA